GCCAATTTTAAATAAGTTTCCACAATTTCATCAATCATAAAATCCAAATAAAATTAAACGTAATGTAAAATTGTTCATGGTAAATCTCGACACACTTAGAATCAAGGCAGCGTTGAGCGAGCTAATGATGATGTCAAGGATATGGTTATCACATGGGTGCAAGATAACCATTGCAAAGACTAGCCTGTTGATGTCAAATTTGTACAATTTGAGAACAGGAGTCACCATTCCGGCATAAACAGAGCTCCATACAAAGCTATACTTGTGGTAGATGCAAAAGTTGGGCTAACATCATCCTCACTTCTGATGAACTTGTAGCTAAAATTGACAGCGAAGATCATGTGTCAGATTTAGCAAACATTGGAACTCAATATAAATACTAAAGATGAACACACATGTACAACTGATGATGAACAAATGGACATTTTTGAGCCTCGACCTATTGAACCCCAAACTGATATGCATGTGTGTTGTATGTCAAGCAACTCAATTGAATGCAACTTCGTGTTCTTCTTGTAAAAACTATACATGCTTTATGTGGAATATTGGACATAACAGAAAAGTATCCGTCAAAATTAATTTGCTCTCTCTCTGTGTGATACGGAAATGAACTTGCAAAGGCTTCTCAGTCAATGGTAAAACAAGCTAATCGTATGTTAATTTAGTATAATAGAGTTTTAGAAGAAGTAGACATTGGATATAATGTTGATATTTCTATTCCAGTTGTTGATCGTGGAAAGGTTGACTTAAGAAACAATTATCAGACATAGCATTTTGTTAGGGTCGTACACTAGAAACAAGTTTGAACCCACCGATTCCGTACAAACGCCGGAATCAATTAGTACAATGCCAGCATATGCACGTTGTTTATCCTCGGTGTATTTGCATCATACGCGTATGGTAATGACGGTCTCGTCCGCATTTGTCATAAACAAGGGTTTTTTTAATGTGGATGTTCTGGAAAATATAGATGAGAACAAAATAGATGTGCCTATGGAAAAGCAGGGCAATTATGTAAAGTGTATGTCGCCAAAACTTATCATGCAAAAATAAGTATATTGAAGTCTTAATAGCAGTTCATATGCCTTTTATTTATGATTCACCTTGTAGTGTTTATTAAAAAGTATATTTCAAAATCATTGGTCATAAAAAACACATTTCTAAAATCAAGTTTAAACTTATAATCAGGGATTTTACAAAATCCCTAACACTATTTTCAGTGATTCTATAAAATCCCTAACAAATTCAGGGATTTCACAAATTCACTGACATATGAACTGGACCAATTCACTCACAAACAAATAAAAGTCCGAAGGTATGATATGTTTGTAAGTTGGTCCAGTTAATACACCAATAAATTCCTTTAAAAATGCGTTTTATCCGTATAATTCTTTAAAATTGGAGATAAGAAATTCAATTTCCCCAGTCGTAACCTGTATCACACGTTAATTGTATATCTGGCATGGTGCATGAATATATTTTTTGGTTAACGCTAAAAAATATTCACCATGAAATTTGCTATCTGATAAAATATAAACTACAAAAATATGTTATTATCATTCAAATGAATATTTTGTGTTTCTTATTTAATTGAACGATGAACGCGAAGCGAAAATAGATATTTTTAACGTCAAGCCGGTTTGTGTTATTATCGCCGCCATCTGTTACATTGGTTACAAAAAGTAGTTTCGTCAACGTCGTCTATCGAAAAATAAATAAGGTCAAGAGCTACTTCCTGAAGCCCTCTCGACCAATCATATAAACGCATTCCCTAATATGCAAATCATATATAAGAATTATAATTATATATGTAAGTATTAATGTGGTGGAAAGTACACGAAAGTTGTAAAAAGAAGTTAACATATAAAGAGAATAAAGTTTTCTGATTTGCTGTGTGAAGTGTTTCATTAATGGACATTGGACTACGCCTTACACTACTATAACACATTGAATGTCTAGCAGGCAAAAAAAAACAATGATGTCATGATGTGTCAATGCCCTTTGAAAACATCTTTCATGTTATAATGTAGTTAAAATATTATTACAAATGTTTAAGAACTACGTTTTTAAAACATTAAGTAAAAATATATTATTCTTTGGAGTACAGTCATACACTTTCTACAATCATTATTGTGCTAGCTGGGATACTCTAGTGGTTGAATTCGTACATAAACTTTCCTTGACTGATTACAAATATTTAAAGCCAGATGAAGCATACTTGTTCCTATGTTCTTATAAATCAAAGTGTATGATCAAATTCAGTAAAGACCAGTGTAAAATCCATAAAATTGATAAATACAACACCACTTACTGTCTTCTCGATGATATTTTTTCATCAAATAGTTAAGAATTCTCTACATATACTGCCGAAATGGTCACAAAGAAACTTCAAATAATTCAGATGTAAACAGCAATAACTGTCCTTTCCTAGATTTAGATCTTTCAGTTTTACACGGGAAACTCTACACACATATTTACGACTAAAGGGACAATATTTCGTTCCCTATCCTTTTTTGGAACGGCGATGACCCGCTGGCACCATCTGACGGTGTGTATATATATCCCAAGTTAATTATTAAGTCAAGGATTTCTTTACCACAAATTACTTAAAACCTTTACAAAAATTTTTCATAGATACAAAGATTTGGACTGCAAGTTTATTTTTATTGTAGAAAACTTATTACATACGGAATAGCACATCCTCATTTTTACTGGGATGGATGTTGATTACCAAGCCCGTAAATTTAGATACGACCCGGGTAAACTTATCGATCCTCTTAATAAATATATCCCAAAAGGTTACTAAAGAGGGGCGAAAGATACCAGAGGGACATTCAAACTCATAAATCAAAAATAAACTGACAACGCAATGGCTAAAAAAGAAAAAGGCAAACAGACAAACAATAGCACACAAAACACACATAGAAAACTAAAGATTAAGCAACACAAACCCTACCAAAGACTGGGGTGATCTCAGGTGCTCCGGAAAGGTAAGCAGATCCTGCTTCACATGTGGCACCCGTCGTGTTGCTCATATTAGTATAAACCAATTTAACATTGTTACTCGATCTTTGAATACTGTTTTTATCGGTAAAGATATTGATTGTGTTATCAATAAATTGAAACCAAACTAAATTTTATTGTTATACACATATTAACATTAACGGTCCTACAATATGTCGATACTTTTACTATGGCATTGCACAAGGTTATATTTTTCTCTGACTGTAAATGACGTCTTAACATTGAATCTATTGGATGTTGTATGTGAACTGATTGATAATTCAGTCTTATTTGCATGTTTTTTTTAATTAGTTTTGTTATTGACACATTAGCTTTCAGTAACTGCCAATACTTTGTGCCTTTTGTGTTTTTGTCATTTTTTTGCGCTTTTTGTCCATCTGATGACTTAAGCTCTTATCAACTGACATTTATTGTTAGTTCTTATGTTGTGCTATTACACCAATGTCCCAGGTATAGGGCGGTTTCGACACCAGCAGACATTTTTATCCCCGCCACATTCTATATTTGCCTGTCCAAAGCCAGTAACCTGTGATCCAGTGGTTGTCGTTTGTTGCTGTATATCATAATTGGTTTTTGTTTAAAGTTTTGTACATAAATCAGGCCGTTAGTTTTCTCGTTTGAATTGATTTACATTTGTCCTTTCTTGACCTTTTATAGGTTACTGTATGGTGAGATTTTGCTAATTGTTGAATGCCGTACCTATAGTTGGTAACTTATACTTCATTTGATCACTGGTTGAGAGTTGTCTCATTGGCAATCATAGTGTTCCGGTTTAGAGTAGGCTGTAGGTTTGTCAATGCGATTTTCTGGCTACTCAATAGACACTCCTACTTTCGCGTTGGTCGTTTATAGTTAACCAACAAACTTGCAAAGACATTTGAAAAAACCTTTCTAAAATAAGCCTTTAATAAATTTTGAAATAATTAGAAACTTTGGTTTCAACTCCAATAGGCAAAGTTGGGTGGATTTAGATATTTGTTTAGGTCCTTTTTGATAATATAGTTCTTCAACTGTTTTGAAGGTAAATCCAAACAGCGCTTCGGACGCATGAAATTTATAAGTGTTGTTTTCATTTTTTTTTTATGAGCATTACATATATTTTTATTATTATTGTATGTAATATTGTTAGTAAGGTCTCTGGGAATATTGATATAGAGTTCGTCTTCACTGTCTGACCAGGGAGGGTCTCATGACTGGACGACGGTTTCCAACTTCTGTTTACATGTTCCCGATTTATAACTTTCCTATTTTATTTGTGTAAGGCTTAGATATTGTAACCTGTTATACATGTTAAGAATAAGCTTAGCTTAACAAATATTAAAATGTACCATTAACAGAACAGATAGCCACCAGTATGTAAAAGTGTGTCACCTGCATAAATACTCACATCTCCTTATTTTTATATAGAAAAATTGGTAAGAATAATTGTTTTTAAGACAGTGATTTCTACGTGATATAGCCTATTTGTGCGTAAAGCAAACACCAATGAATCAATCTAGCGTGAAAATGAAAGGAAATTTTATCTTTCCTTACATTTTAAAATAAAATTGTTATCTAATAAGAAGTCTGTCCTGTTCGATGATACTCACAATAAAAGTAACAATAAGGGTCAAAAACTTGGCAATTATGAAAAATAGTTCAATAATGAATTTAATCTATTGAAACGCATATCAAATACGTGCACTTAAAATAAATAAACAGCTGTATTTATTTGTATATGAGGTTATTTTAAAAACAATTGTTTGTTTAAAGATAGCATAAAACATATATTGAAAGACTTCTGTTTATAATATACTTTGTTCAAACAGGGTTAAACAATGAACATGTTTTATAAACATATGAGATATATAGATAGTCAGTTTTAAATACACAAAGAAATATACATAACCTATTACTGATCATTGATCCTAAACATTTTAATTTAAACATATGACTGACTTATTGTCAACATGAGTTATTTCTGTATATTAGTATACATCATGCACTAGCTTGTTATTTGATTATATATTGTGAAATTTCTTTTGGGAATGTATCTTTTGTCATAATTGGAATTGAAAGTAAGTACAATTATGATAAGAAATACCTGTTTGGTATAAAATTTACTATAGATTTTTGTTTCTGATGCATATTTTTCATTTTTGTAAAATAACGACAATGTTTATATATTCAATAACTTTTTTAAATTTCATGTTTTTGCATGCGATATCATTTGTCTGAAAGTTAAATATTCAGACGGGCACATACTCAACTTTATACATTTTATATAACCCCCTTTTACTGTATTTAGTATAGTAATTATTACGCTATAATATTTTGTTTTTATTTTTGGCGTTCATTCCTGTAGTGCAATAATTTTTTATTTACATGAAGATTCGCTTTAAGGAATTGACAATTGCTGTGTTTGCAGGAAAAGGTTTATTATGAGTACAGACAAACCTATGCACCTTGAAAAAATTTACGGCATAGCAAAAACTGGATAAATAAAATTCAAATGCATTTTATAGGAATAATTTTTAAAAATCTGGAATTTGAAATGCCTTTTCTTCCTTTCCACAGAATGCATCCTAATAAACTAAACTAGACAAAAAAATGTTTGCGATGTCTCACTTATGCAAAAATTGAAGTAAAATGTATTGATTGACACAGAAAATAATGAGAAATTATATATCTGCACAATAAAAAAGGGGCGAAGGATACCAAATGAACATTCAAACTCATAAGTCGAAAATAAACTGACAACTCCATGGCTAAAAAAGAAAAAGACAAACAGACAAACAACAATACACAAATCACAAATCACAACATAAAAAAACAAAGACTGAGCAACTCGAACCTCACTAAAAACTAGGGGTGATCTCAGGTGCTCCGAAAAGGGTAAGCAGATCCTGCTCCACGTTTTGCTCATGTTAGTACGAACCCGGTGATAAGTCTAATTCGGTAGGTCACATTCGAAGAAAAGGGGACGGGATTGTAGTTACGACAATTTGAACATATCCGTTGTCAACTGTGAAACAGATACTTCATAACGGTGAACCAACTCGTAATGGCGTCCGTAAAATTTACGAAGGGATGATTTCAACTTCACTACTTGGAACTCTTAGCTAATAGCTTCCTTGTGAGCAGCAACCCTCTATCAAAGAAATCATGATAGGAAACACAAGCCCTGGAATAACGTATCAACAAGGAGATATATACTCCGTATTCAAGCGCTGCTGGAATGATACTACATAGATATGGAAAGAACACAATTGGGAAGCTAAAATCATCTTTTTTGTCGTAAAGTTTTGTTTTCAACCGACTCTCATCGTCATTGTCAAAGTCGAAATATAAGGCAGACTAAACTGTATCTGTTGTATCATTTATCGCAAGTTCGATGGGATAGATGCGTTCAGCATAGTCACTAAATTTTGAATTATTTAGTGAGAGAACATCATCTATATAGCGGAAAGTGAAGTTAAAGGATTGTGATAACTTCTTTTCATTCTTCCTTATGAGTTTCTGTATTAAGTCAGCCTCATATGAATAAAGGAACACGTCGGCCAGAAGATCAGCAAAGTTGGTTCACATAGGACTGCCGATAGTTTGTAAACGTAATAAATATGTTGTCAATTAAGAAATCAGTCATCTTGATAATGTCAGTTTCAGAGAATTTTTTGTTTGAATCATATTGATTCTTTACAAAGTACGATTTATCCCATCCCAAGACAAGACGCTTGCATCTATGTAGGTCATTCTTTTTTATGAAACAAAGCAGGAACAACTCTTTCAATGTAAATGAAAGGGGATTGAAACTGGGAAATTATCTTTTGATAAACCTTAATTGGAAAGTTGCTTTTTATTTACCCGATCATATTGTTAACCTTTTTTAAATAATTGATTGTTTCCACTGATCGAATTGAATAAGAATAATATGTGTAGTTCATTGTGAACATGTACACCAATGATGAAGAAATAAAGAACACTGTACCATCCATACAACGTGTATGTATATATTTGTCAGGAAAAACACAACTACATTTTTGTAAAATATATAAGTACAGTTACAAAGACCTCATATTATGTCTCTTGTATATTATTATATCTTATGCACAATACGTCATCTAATAACTCTGTATCAATTTAATAGTTAAATCAAATTGTAATATTAGAAGCTTGGGTATTGTTTTTTATGTTAAATTGTTTCTAGCTATATAAGTAACACATCAAAGTATTTTTTAAAGTTCGTTTCAAAAAATTCAAAGTTAAAATCAACATGACAAATTACCAACTCAAATTGACTATACATCACACAAACATAACAGTGAACTATGACGTATATGACAGTTACTATATTAGATATTCAAACTAAACGACCTGAAAAAAACAACGAATACATTTTTTTTTATACAATTCGATCATTAGTAATAATCATTTATTTTAAAATAAATACTTCTATACTTATAAAGGAAAACTGTTTAAATGTCCTTTGCACTCCACAATCCATAGTTTAACAAGCCAAACAAAATGATATTACACAATTTCGAATTCTTTTTTTTATCTGAATTTAAAGAATTGTAAAATATACACTAACAAAGTTCACAGCCAGATACATTGCTGTGCTTGTAGTATCATGCAAAAATAGTTTAACAAAACATCTTAAGACAATTTTGAGTGCAACAAGACATTCATTATTTGCAACATTCACACACAGCAGACAATAAATTTCAGCAACACAACATGATAAAAGATGAACTAAACAAAAAGTCTACAAGCGATGAGTTCAAGGCACTTTTCTGGATTTTCTATCAACAGGAACGTTCATACCTGAAAAATGAAGAGCTATATCATCAATTAAGGCAACAGACTGAGGGAGTAGTATGGAACCCAAAAAGGAGCAAGACCGAATACATCTAAGGGTCTAAAAGAATATTCAAATTCGTTTAGGTTCAACTTTGTCTGAGGTCTGAGGTCTTTTCACACTAGTTATTAGTAGATAACCTGTTTATATTTCTTTGAATATCAGTATAACACATTGAATAATTTTATTACATTAGAAATTGAAGTATTTATCATACTTTAATAATTTTACATCAAAATAAGTATGTATGGTATGATTGCAAATAATACAACTATCCACCAAATGATATGTATAATAGTAACTATATGTCACCATGACGCCTTCAACAATGAGAAAAACTGATACATTATAGTCATATATAAAGGGCCCTGATGTGACGAAACATGAAATCATTCAAACGTTCAACGAGGAAGACAACGGCCTGATTTATAACAAAACAATCAATGTTAGTACATATAAAAAAATATAATTAATATGTTGATCCAAATAATCATCCAGCTTACATTGATCATACCAAATTTTACGGGCTCTATAAACAACATTCTTTTTTAAAGTAAGTTTCCATTGCAGTATTTTTAGAGTATTATTGATAGTTAAAAGCATCCGATATCAAACAGTATAAGGAGAAATACCGTACTCCAAGGTAAATTAAAAAAAGTCCAGAAAACCGGACAAAATCTAACGTTAGACTATATCAACCAACGGAACGACTGTCATATTCCTTACTTGGTACAGACATTTTCCAAAGAAAATGGTGGGTTTAACCTGGTTTTTTAGCTAACTAAACCTTCAACTTGTATGACAGTTGTTTATAGATGCGTAACGGTAAGTGTTATTAAATTTATCGATGAAATAGAATTTAGACGACGCTCTTTACTGAATTTGGTCCTAAACTGTGATTCATTACATTACAGGTGCAAGTCTACTATTAAAAGGATGCCCATTGGAATACCTACAATCTGTCGTACACTTTCTTGACGAAACGTACATGGATGTGTTTAACGAGAAATTGACAGCTTTAAATATTTCATCACAGTTCTAGTAAGTATATTTAGCATAATAACCTTTAGGTTGCAATTCTGTAAATACAGACAATGCAATTTCCCATAGGAACTCCCTTTGCGGCTAAAACTGTGACACTTTTACTATGAAGTTTCGTGAAAAATAATATCCCAGAACGGAAAGTTTATATGCACTACTATTTTATTCAAAGGTCAAAATATAGGGCTGTGCGGCATATTTTCAACATTTATATGCCCTGAACTTCTTAGAGTTTAAACTTATACTAAAATTCTATACTACCCTTACCTCCATTTTTGGACCTCCTAAGAATTAAAATTTAGCCGCTACCATGTTTTTCTATACTGGTTACATTCCCAAGTGATGTCTCTATGTGATGAAACACAGAGATCATCAATGGGAACCAGTACGTTAACAAATTAACATACCTATGAATATTAAATATCTCCCCAAAAGAGGCGTGGTTTGAGAAACAGCTGTATTTACAAAGTGCAACCTATACAAACATTTATTCAAATAGAAAACTCTCTAAAAACACTTTTTCTCACAACAATACTTATTTATCAGAATTATAGCCTTAAAGAAATCACTGCATATACTCTAAGTCTCCTTTTACAGTACATTTTATACCCCTACCCCTGTTTCAATTTTTTAAAGATTTTGAAAACAAGACTCTAATTATTGCCAGCTTACCCTATGTGCATGTTTTCTGACATGAACTGTCTAAAATCTGTTTGAAACTATTCTGATAACAAATTGAAAGCATTTTAGAATACTATAAATGTATTGTTTAATAGTTAAGCATTCCAACATTCAAGATTATACAAAGTATCCAATCCTGCCTGTGTCTCCAGTCCACATCTTACTGTATGCCTATTTGTCAACCAAAGTTCACAATTTCTGCCTCAAATGGTCAGTTTAGAATTCTTGTCACAACAGTATCATCCCTAACCATATATCTAACATAAGTTAGTTAATATATGTCCTAGAAGTGTTTAAACAAAGCCATATTTGCAAAAGTTGTATTTATGAAGATATCAGTCTGGTGCATAAATTCACTAAAAGTTTGATAGAAATGACTGCTTACATCTGATTTTTGCATAACTTCCTAGCACAGTTTTTGTTTACTTTATAAAAGACCTTTAAAATAAAAAAATCATAGCATTTACAAGTTAAATTATCTGTTTTTTTGACTCAGGGGTAGGCATTTTTCTCTGTGTTTTGCCAAAGGGGCCTCACATTTCCTAATTTTTTTCCCTGTTTCTAGCAATGTGGAATATTTACTACATATTTAGGATAGAACACACTATTGTAAGTTTTACTGAGGTCTTTTTGTAATTCTAGCTTGTACTTTTTTATGCCGCAGTCACAAAAAAGCACATTTAGGCGTTACGGCTTACTTTTGGGTTATCGACAGGACAAAAACACCCCACCAGAAATATTTAGGAAGGATCAATGAGTTGCTATTACTGCGAAGAGTAAATATAAGCACTTCTAAACAATTTAAATTACAAATAGGCATATATTATGAATTTATTTTGAATTCAGGGCTTTAAGTAAACCATGCATACTGTAAACTGTGAATTTATGCTGAGTCATCATAGTTAAGGCCCAGGATTTTCTCAATCTTCATGAAATATTTATAAAACTTCATATTTGAGTTAAATTCTTTAAAATCTCTGAGATAAACCAGATTTTGTGAAATTCTGTATGTTCTATTATTTAACCCTATATAGGTTGCAATTCTGTAAATACAGACAATGCAATTTCCCATAGGAACTCCCTTTGCGGCTAAAACTGTGACACTTTTACTATGAAGTTTCGTGAAAAATAATATCCCAGAACGGAAAGTTTATATGCACTACTATTTTATTCAAAGGTCAAAATATAGGGCTGTGCGGCATATTTTCAACATTTATATGCCCTGAACTTCTAAGAGTTTAAACTTATACTAAAATTCTATACTACCCTTACCTCCATTTTTGGACCTCCTAAGAATTAAAATTTAGCCGCTACCATGTTTTTCTATACTGGTTACATTCCCAAGTGATGTCTCTATGAGATGAAACACAGAGATCATCAATGGGAACCAGTACGTTAACAAATTAACATACCTATGAATATTAAATATCTCCCCAAAAGAGGCGTGGTTTGAGAAACAGTTGTATTTACAAAGTGCAACCTTTATATGAGTTCAGGCAAATAAATCTACCGTCAGATTTTTCAAAGGACCACATACCATTTAATTGAATAAGATAGCTTCTGTTTTATAAGATTGTGGGGAATTGTTGTGTACAGAGTCATGACAGTCAACCGAATTGAACGGATCATCAAAAATACGTTATATATCTAAAACATCAAAAGAGTTTTTGACGCTCCAAAATAAATAATTCCCGTTATTTTCATATTTTTAACAAAAAATTAATGACACTTTCTTAGATTGCGGGAAGGGAACTAGTTTAAAGCACAGAAAAATTATTTGTAGACAATTCATAAGACTGTATAATCTAGCATGTATACGTTTATTTTAGATGAGTACTAGTAATTGATTAAGTTTAATTATAGTTGATCAACAAGGTGTCTTCAAGGATAACAGTAACTAACTATTTGACAGCTTCATTGAATCACTTATTTTTAGTCGTCATCGCCTGAATAAAAGATATGCCTTATTAGATAAAACTCGTGTGTTGATGGATATGTTTGATCATATATTGGCAAGCCTGCTTTATATTTGTTCTTTTTAGCTTCAGAAAGACCATTTGTCTTTAGGCTGTAGAGTGAGCTGTACACCACATGGTACAGTTGCAATGGCTTGTTTTGATAGCTCTGGACAATATGCTACTGATCAGATACGAAGATAATGCTCTTAAGTATAGATTTGTTCATAGATAAAACTTGAACACTTTAGTATGATACATAAACAAGAAAACAGGTGAACGGTATTTTGAATTTTTAATTAAATACTATAATAAGGATTTAATTTAAAACATTTGTATGTACAAAATTAATAGTGAGTACTTCGCAAAGTTCTAACATTTGCTGAGTATATCTTATAGTTGGCAATAGATACACCTATGCGTGTGTTTCTTTAAAAAAAAATCCCATAAAAGTATAAATATGGCTTACTGTCAATGATTCGATATCACAATAAAAAGACACAAATAACTGAAAAGTTTGCTTCAAAACATAGTACATGTTCCAAAGCATTAAACTAAATATCAAATTAATCATGGCACGATGTCCTACCAGGAAACAAAAAGTTTTTCAAAAAGTCTTACAGTGCTAAAATTTACGATAATAGACGCCATCTTAGAAGTTAAAAAGAAGATGTCGAAGTACAACTCTAAGTAAAGCACTATATAGGTGAAAAACAAATACAACAATCCAAACCAAATGGTATTGAAGGGTATGTTCCAGAAAAGTGAGATCAAGTTAACCTTAGTGACCTCTCAATGTTCATATTATTAGCATTTTCCAATACCTTAATGTTCCAGGTGAACCTTGTGGACTTGATGACCAGATTATTTGATAAATTATTGGGCATACATTTAAATTGTGATAAATCATTGAACAAATTTCCAGAACTATTAGATATGTTGAAAAGTAAAATAACAAAAATACCAAGGAAAATTTAACTGTCATATTCCTGACTTGGTACAGGCATTTCCTTATGAAGAAATTGGTGGATTAAAACTGTTATATTGAATCCCGTTATATTAGCAACAATGTGTGAGCAAAACAAATAGACATAATAGGTAAAATGTAAAAAATTAGGGTAAAACAGTCAACATTGTGTTATAATCTTATTCACTATACAAACAAAGAAAAACAAAATGGCATATAGGCACTACATAGACAAAGTACATAAGCAAAAATGAAAGACATGAATGCAAAAATGACCATAGCACAATAACACAATTAAAATTAAGCAGACAGCCATTAATTAGTAAATATAAAAATTGATAGTATACATGTAAAACATGTACTTAACGTTTAGAAACTACAAAAATGTCACAACTGGTAATTCTTGATGATTACATGAACATTTGGAAACAATCAATGAAATATTTACAGGAGAAAACATAAAAACATAAACGTTATCCCTTCTGTAATACTTTCTCATCACTGTTTAGATCCTCAAAAGTGGCATATGCAAATAAAAAATATAAATGTTAATGATTTATTTTAATTTTTACGAATTATTATCATATTGAGATGAATTTTTAGATACTATGACCAGGAGACTCTGTTAACCTTACTCAAAGAAATAAAAAAAAACTTTTGTTCTCTACGTTCGGGAAAGATAGAGTAACTTATAGTATGTTTTGTCCTTTTACTGACTAATATTTAGGTATATTTTTTTTTCTCGTTTATGAATAGCCGTTCCATGCGCTTTAGTTTTCAAAAAATATTTTTTATTTTGAATTGTACGTTCAGTTCCATGAATTATTTCTGCCTGTATTGGTGCTCGATCGATGGGTGCTGAGGTATCCAACACTGTATCAAGGATTTGATGTATTGGTTTAAAATAATCTGCCCTGCATATTCTTTCAACTAGATAATTTTCTGTCCCGCTACATTCCCTTATTCTTGAAGGAACACACGAATTTTGTTCTGTTTGTCGCCTCCAGCTATCACTATGGCCATAATTATGTTTTCTGTTGCCACAAAAGGAAGCTTTTGGTAAACACTTCTTTCTTCTACCTTATAATATACTACAGATCCTTCTGATATATTCTATAATGTTGATAAATCACAAAAAGTAATATAGATATTTATAATAGAAATTTACATAACAAGAATCCAAGTAGGCAATAGCAAGTACAAATGGTCGCTTGAGGAAAAGGAAAACATGTATAAACTTATAGTATGTTTTGTCATTAACTGACTAATATTTAGGTATATATTTTCTCTTGTTTATGAAAAGCCGTTCCATGCGCTTTAGTTTTCAAAAAATATTTTTTATTTTGAATTGCACGGTCAGTTCCATGAATTTTTCTGCCTGTATTGGTGCTCGATCGATGGT